TTTATTTTGTAATACTCATGAAATGGTGGGATACGTCTATTTAATTTAAATTTATATTTTTATGTAATTATTAAATTTTATGTTTGTACTCAGCTTCAGCGAGTAGCATTAGGTGTGCTGGTTACATTTTCCTCAAATGTATGGCACATACCACTGGAGAAAATATTTTTCTGTCAATTAGTCCATTGTAAGGATTTTATTTAACATTATTCGCTATTTTGCGAGTTACTTAACCCTTAACCTCAAAATGGGAATGGTAAAGAACGAGGCGTCAATTTGCCAAAGAGTTCGCAGCAATCTCTCCTGGCTAGTAATTTATACTAGTAACTGTACAAATATAAACTTCGATGTGCACCACAACATTAGTTTTAATCCACAGAATCCAAAAAATCGTTTATATACAATTTACTACCTCAATAGACAGGTCCGGACTGAAATAATTTACATTTAATTAAATACGTGCAATTTTATTATTTATTATATTTTTATTTATTTACTTACTGATGATTAAAAAATCGTATCTTCTTTGTACTTTTTCCCTTCACTTTATATAATCATTGCAAACATATTTTTTTTCTTTATCTGATCATAAAAATATAAAACACCAGAATGGCGCCCAAAAGAAAAGTTGACAATCGCACATCAAACATTGACTGACAATGAGTTGTGTGAAAAATTATAAATTAAAAAGTAGATTGTCAAGTTACAAAAATATTAATAGTATCTTAATTGGCTTAATTTTATAGTTCAGTTCGAATGCATTCAATCCAGTCCTGTCAAATGTATACGTGTGTAATGGCTTCCTGTTGCATTGTTGCATTTTTCTAAAAATGTTCAAATAATGATTGTTTTTAACAAGTTACTAATTACTGTGTCATTCTATTTTTCATGTGACAACGCATTACAATTTATAATTCGTTATATCCTATTGTTAATCATTTCCTTTTAATTGTAATCGTACAGAGTATATCGCATCAAGGTGAATTTAAACGGGTATAGGCATAAACTTTTAAGTTGTTTCGCTTAGCCGGTAGATGGCGCCAAAGTAGAAATTGTTTATTGCAAATAACTTCGAAACGCCTTAGAAGATTTTACTGAGATTTGGAATGATAGAACTTGACTAATCCACTTATAATTTTGTAGAGGATCATGTTATAACTTCTTTTTCCTTAAAGATAAATGTAAAATTTTGGTAATTATGTAGTAGTTTTGGATTGATCCATTTTTTTTATTAGATCATTACTAATCGCAGATTAGAAAATATAACTTACTACTTCGTATCTCTTACCGTTTTTGAGATTCCTGTAGTGAGAAGCGAATTTGTTAACAACCTTCTATAGACACGGGTATTGATAAATTTATATAAAACCTCATTTCTATTTGAATCCACCCCTTTCAACTTTTTTTATGTGCGCCACTGACAGCTTCATATACATATTCATTTAGTGAGTGAAAAATGTGAAATATTGGTAATTTTCTAAATATTTGTCTATGAATTGTTTTGGCAAAAGAATGTCCATTTTTTTGCTTCACTATGACTTTTTTCAATTTTTCTTATTGCTCTAATTTTATTGCCAAGATAACCAACATAGGTCATATAATTCATAAATCATAATTTTAAGTTATAGGTACTTTTTGCTACGATTAATAAAAACCGTAGCAAAATAGCTAGGGAACAGCCAGTAACTTTGTTATTTCTCAACCTAGAATGATGCGGTTTGGTTCGCTGGAATCTCAAGACGAAATGCTAGAGGGAAATAATTAACAATTCGATTTACTTGTTAATGGAATATTACCAACAAAATCGTATCCATTCTATTACCCTTTTCCGGAATTATTCACGCAGTCTGGAAAAATAAATGTTATTGTTACATTTTTTCCTTTTATAGTTAAATACTCATTACCATCGCAATTTTCATTCTTGTTTCTCATTATCAACATCATCACGCCGGATTGCGCAATTTATTGTCGCAAATTCAATGTCAATTTGCGAATGATTTTAATAATAGGTAAACCGGAAAGAGGTACCGGCAATTCCAAGTAAATCGTTGATAATGCCGTGATTTATCCCAGATAATTACATAACAATTCACTGTCAGGGCAATATGCGCAAAAAAACAGCGCATCCTTTTCAGTTGCATATAAAAGTGACGTTTTCGTTAAATAGACTTATCAATTAAATAGCGAATAGCTCCGGAATAGGTGGTGATTGAATACGGTGCCAAAATGGCGGCTAAACTAATTTTCGTGGTTGGTCTTCTAGTGGTTTCTTTAGTCGCTGTTTTGGGGGTGAGTTTTTTTTTTTAATTCATACGCTGCTTGTGTATACAAGACATATAACGTTATTTTTCAAACTGCGCCAGTTTTAATAACTGCAGTTTATTTTTAAATAACCAAAATCATATCTGCCAATTAGTGATGATTTTTAAGTGTCGTTTTTGATCTAGCAAGTAATAAAAAAAGGTTTTTGAATGAAATTGACAAAACTAGATGTTAATTTGTAAGTGCTTTTTTTAATTTTAGGCACCAAAGCCGCTCAAGGAGGAAGATCTTCAGAAAAGCGTCATAGAATTTCTCAAGCAAGATAAGCAATTTATAACAGAATTTGAGAAGATGAAGTTATTAGGTAAGTTTTTTAATAAAACCACATATCATAGCATGGCAGAGCTTAAATAAATGCAGTCATTTATTCTCTAAAGCCGGGTCCAGACTTATTTTTCAGTTAAACAATTTTTTTTCAAATATTAATCATAACTTCTTTATTTAGTTTTGCAAAAAATCAAATAGATAATTTCAAAGATGCTTTAAAAAATGTTCCGTTCTACGTCGACAACAATAATTTTACAGATAATAAACAAAGCACGATTTTAATGTAAAAAAAACAAATTTCGACAAAAACGAAATACCTTTTTAGGTTATTATAACTTTATAACGTTTTTGTATGAAAAAATTAAAAGCAAAAACGGTCATAGACAACCATAAAATCGAGTTTTCGCAAAAGTGTCAAAATGCTCAGACGCAAACTTATTTGCGACGATCTGTTTGTGATCCAAATTCGTGACAAAAATTCCGAGTTACCTGTGTATCCACACATCTAATGAGTATTTTATTCCAGGGAACGGCGAAGGCTTGCCACTAAGAAACAGGCGGCAGACTGAAATGGATGACAATATTCCTGACAGTGCCGAGGATGAAAAACCCGGGTTTTTTGACCGAGCGGCGAAGTTCATAGTCGACCTTTTGCAGAGATTTCTCAAATGGATTAATACGGACTCTAATTAGCGAGGGGGTTAAAAATGTGGCTGCCTGGATATTCGGATAGACAGCAATTAGCATAATTATCTACTTAGTTTTGTTTATATACCTTTTAGGATTTATATTACTGTAATTGCTAGTTACTTCCGATAAAACTTCTATTGGAAGGAAATGAAAGAAGCCTTACCTGATTTTATATGAATTTTTTTATCAATAAAACATTAATTGTAAAATTAAATTTAAATAGAAAATAAAGGATATCCACTAACAACGGTGTAATATTAATTTATAGGCTAAACAGTTAAAATATGATTTGCCACTGCGCAATATCAAGTTTCGAACGAGCAAAAGCTGCTCGGGAATTTGCTCTTTTTGCATTAAATAGAGCTTATTTTCACGGTAATTTAAAAAAAAGAGGGAAATAACCTACGCCTCTCTGTTCCCAAGATAGCTTTTTTATAACGTTAATTGTTAATGGGACATATTGGAACGGGATTTTAGAGACAATTGAAAGGGTTTAACTTTTATTTTCAGAAAGTTTTACATTGATACTTCATGTAATAAACGCGATAGCGCACTAAAAGTTAACGTTAATAAATGGCGCGGACGCGCGAGCGCCGAGCCCGCGCATGCGCGTGAATGTCGCTCTCGTTCGCGCGAGATTTTCGACTTGAACGTTTCAAATTCAGTTAGTTCGGTAGTTTTTTATTACAGTATTACAAGTTTCAGAACAAATTGCCTCTCTTTGAGGCACGCTTTTTTAAATCTGAAGGCGAATTAGGCCAATATTGCCCTCTTATGTTTCGAATCAAACGCGATCGCCTTCGACTGTGGGAAACTGTTTCTAAAGCACTAAAAACAAAGCTAACATGTTCATTTAAATCAACATAAATATTTGGAATAACCTTTAAAATGATTACTGTAACTTCACCGGAAATATAATGCCATATAATTATACCATAAATCATAGTGGTCGCTTATTATGTGGATTTGTTTCAATTGTTTGAATGTATCTCTAATATTCATTTGTTTCCTATGCCAGTAAGATGTGTTACTACTTGCTCATATTTAATTTATTTTTATTCTCTCTGGTAAGAAACATCTCCCCAAAAGGCAAAATTAGGACACTTTAAAACGAAAATGTATACATTTTTAGGCATGTGAACGGTCCCTAGAAGTAAGGGGTGTGGAGGATTCCTGTTGGACGAAAAACGTGGAGGTAATCGACAGATTACAATACACCGGGAAGAGCATCTTAAATTTTGCGAAGAAAAAGCTTGGAATGGAGGTCGAGGCGGGCGACGAACCTCAAAAGGTAGGTAATATTTAAAAAATTATATTTAGGGCGTCTGTAAAATGTGTACCTGCCTAACTTATTATATAAACGTACTTTTTTTCTAGTGTGACTACTACAACTGCATATTTCAAGAGCTCAAAATGGTGAGGATAAGAAAAATATACAGGGTGCGACTAAAATATTTGGCCACATTTATTTAATGTCAAAATGGTTTTTCAAATTGCAAAAAACAGTTAAATATGTAATTTTTTTATCGTTAACACTCGCCCTTATTCTTTGGCCAGCGTTTTAGATGCACCTGTTGATTCACACGACTTACAACGCGGATTGTCTTTTAGTTAAGCGACGGACATCCTTCCGAGGAAAAAATTATGAAATGGATAAAGAACAATATTATATACAATCATGCAATAGTCCTATTATCTCGGGTCGACACTTGCAGCACACAACTGACAAGGAGCATCGGTAATAATAATTATTTTATTGAATCATTGTTTAAAAAATTAATGACCAATATCTGTAGGTTCAAACACATTTTTTTCTGTGGAAGTTCTGGAGGAAACGACTCTAAAAAGTGATAAATTTTATAAAAAAAAATTTACACGGAATCTAATTCAAGGATTTTTTTCAGATGAATATAACGAGCCCTTAAAGCTTCAAGGTAAATGCGAAGTCGTGGCGGAATACATGAAATGCATGTTTGCGATGGAAAAAAGCGATGTAAGTATAAAATGTCCAAGTTGCAGAACTTTTCGATTCAGTTAGAAAAAAAATAGTTTTCGATAAATTAAAATTTGTTTGCTTTGATTTTAATAATTTGGGTCATCTAATTTAATTTTTTCAGTGTCCGGTATTTCAATATCCCTAGAATTTCATCAACAATACATGTTTTTCAGTATTCTACAAAATGTGAAAGGGTGTTTCAGTAAGTGGCATAAAATAATTATGAATATTATAACTTTCGCAATACATCTTAGGGAACTATTTTTTCTGTTACTGTTACTTTTTCTCCTTTACCTTTAAATTTGTAAAATTTTATCCACAAACACCAGGAAGGTACAAATTTCAATTATAATGATCCGTAAAAGTGATGTCAACTGGTACAGTGGAGAGATATTGTTCTTAATTGCTTAGAATTATAAAAACTCTCGACAAAAGACCGCCCCAGAAAGTTTAATTTACAAATCGATTCAAAATGCATCGAACGGGTAAATTTTTAAGGTAAATGAAACTAAATATAGTTCGTCTTTATAAACACTTAAATATATTTTATGGAAATGATGTTAAATACATAAAACGTTTGTATTGGACCCCTTTCGTATTGCGAAACACGGAGATCCCAGCACTCATTGGAATTACTGCAATAGAAATAACAGAATTAACGTTCCTTCGAAAAAGTAAATTATAGAGCTAGTTAGTAAAAACGTAACACACACTACAACCCAATTTTATAGTGAAAAATTTTTACAAACAACGGATGATGTGTAGAGGAACTATTTATAATGCAAGGGTTTGTGGAAGGGAATTCAAAAGGTAGGTAAAAACAGGGGGAATTTGGAATAGGGAAAATTTAATGAGAGTGAATCAGATGGGAAGACTACATTAATCATTAATACTGGATGAAATACGCAAATAAAAAGATCTTGTAAAACGGGAACAAACAAAACAAGTCACTAAACCACAAAACAAAAACAATACCTAGAAATAGATGAATCTATTTCTTGCCACCCTGAAAAAATTAAATTGAAATGAAATAAAACTTAAAAACTATCGGGACGTTGAATAAGTTCTCGCTGTTTTCCAACAGATGGCATTACCAGAACTGTTTAGTTGGAAAACCAGTGTACGTTGTTTTGCCGAAGTGCAGACCACTTTTTTTCCATAGTGTTGAATTTTGTACCGAAAAAAGTGTATTGGCGGGGAATTTTATGCACTACTTTATCCAAAAGAGATCTGCGAATTGTTGTTGAGACTTACGGCTGCCGTGCTCTGTCGCAAACAACATGCAGAGTTCGGTTTAGTCGCTTCAAAAATAACGATTTTGATGTTGAAGATAACGAACGCTCTGGCGCACCGAAACAGTTCGAAAATGAAGAATTGGAGGCGTTACTTCCTGAAAAACTTATATTGGACGCTAGCTAAACTTACAAAATCTTTGAATTGATCGTACAACAGTTTCGAAACATTTGAAAGCATTAACAATGGTGGAAAATCAAGGATATTGGGTATCGTACGTGTTGAAGCCAAGAGACGTCGAATGGCAGAAAATAAAAGGTTATTTGCATCGTATCGTAAAAATGGGTACGCTAAGGGTAGAAAATCATGGGGTAAGCCTGGCCACACATCAATATCATCGGCAAAGCTGAATATCTGTCGTTTTAAGCGTCTGCTCTGCGATTGGTGGGATCAGCTGGGTACAAACTGGTCACACTGAATGAAACCATCACAGGAGATTGCTATCGACTACAATTAATGCGTTTGAGCTAAGCATTGAAGGAAAAATGGCCGCTATATGAGCAGAGACACGACAAAGTGATTTACAGCACGACCATACTCGGCCACATGGTGCAAAACTGGTGAAAGCCTACTTGGAAGTCAGAAAGATGGGAAAAAGTGGTGCGTAGCGATGGACAATACTTTCAGTCACGTTTTTTTAAACAACTTTTTTAAAAAAACCGTTTTAAAAATGGCGAGAACTTATTCAACACCTCAAAATATGTTTTTTCGTGTCTTCAACTTAAATTTTAACGTCTCTCATGTTTCTTAAACATAATCTATATAACCCTCTCTCTTTTGTAGTCTTAAAGTCTTACGGGTCTAACGTAGAGAAGATACGGTTCAAAATTTGTGATATAAGCCTAATGTGCAACGTAATTATTAGCAGTCGCTTACAACTCACTGCACCTTCGTGTGACATATTACTTTTTGGGCACACTCTTTTGGCCGTTCTTCCCTTATCATTAGAAATCGGTCTTTCAAACTTTAAACCACTCAGCTACTTTTTGATGTGAATTTTATGTAGATTTTTGGTAATTTTGAAATTTGAATAACACCACTGCAATGCAGAAACAAATAGTTGATCTCGATTTGAGACTCGAATGAGAAGAAAATGACCGACACAAATATCTTACGACAAATGACTTAGAATTTAAAAAAAATGGCACAACGGAGTCAAATTTACTAGCATAAATTTTCATTTTTAGTTTAATGTATATCCGTATTAAAACAAGTTCAAACACGATCTCACGATTTGAAGTTGTCGAATCGAAAGCACCAAAAAGCGAAAACCGAATTAAAAAATTTGACTAACCTTCTTAGAAGCAGCACCAACTTTACTCTTTTTGGTACCCCTCACTTTCTTCATCCTGTTCTTACGTTCTTTACGTTGTTTACGGGTCTGCTGTTTCTTTTCATATAAACCGTGTCGGGCCAGCCTGTGCTTAGGTTCAAATTTCTTTGCAAAATCTAAAGTGTCGTAAATAAGAGCGAAACCTGTGGATTTGCCACCCCCAAAGTTCGTCCTGAATCCAAATACAAAGACTACGTCAGGTGTAACCTAAAAATGTTATTACGTTAATGTGATGAAGATTAATAAGTCAAATTATAATTTACTTTGTACATTTTGGCTAGTTTTTCCCTAATGTCCGTTTTCTTAACGGAAGGTTGTCCCGGATGTAGGACATCTACGACCATTTGTTTACGAGCCAACAGCCTGTTGGTCATAAATTTTCTGGTCCTAATTGTAGCCGTTCCTTCAGTCTGAAACATAAACAGTAGTCTTAAAAATATTTCAAATTAAGATTTTTAGGTTATGTACAAATAAAATATGTGTATTAGAATGTACTAGTAGTAATGCCTTATTGATGTATTATTGAGGTAAGTATATACGATCTATAATAATTTATTTCCAACTATTTTCATGAAAAATGTTAATTCAGTTACAAAATTTTTGTTTGCAAAATAACTATCTGTCAATTACCATGTTGGATTTACAATAAAATAAATATAAATTAATCACTATTTGCACAAAATATAAAAATGAACATTTAAACAACACTATTTTGCACTAATATTCATTATATTTTTGACCAATAAATGGCGGATGATCTTATTAATTTTCGATTTATTACATACCATTGTCGTAGGAAAAAATTCTACTCGAAAAGAACGCTACAGCGGGAAAAGTGGCCACTTTGGAAACTACGACCATGTGCTTCCGACATTTCTAAAGGCGGGTAATTCAAATTAAATAAACGTGGAGGAAAATGTTTCGNGGTTATTATTATTATTATTATTATTATATTTATTTTACTACAAAAAAATATTTCATGTTAAGGTAAATTTTTGATAAGTATAACCGTACCCTGATGTAATACCTGCTAGACTTGGACATTTATCTGCTGTAAATTGGTTCCAAAACATTTCACTAGGATCGTAAGTGTCATCGAGAGCCTCAATTTTATTCTCAGCTCCATGCGACAGCACGAAGAGAAGAAAACAATTATTGTCGGTGTGGTCCATTTGACGAACTATTGAAAAATATACTGTACAATATTCAATTATAAGTAATTCAATGAAATAGGTACCTTCATTGAATTACAGCCCAAGATAATTAAATTAATTATATAATCATAATATATATATAAATTTTTAAATACAAACAATATGGCACATATTAAATATAATTTTGTTTGGCTTTCAGGTATTTTTTATGTCGTATTGTAAAATACAATGATATTTTTTTATTTGCATAATAAATATTAGGTTCATTCTCCCTTTTTCATATCCTTAAACTGCACGAGTCTGGTCAACG